GGGAGGGTCAATATGCATTATATGTGCCGTGTGTGAAAAAAAAAAAGTCAGGTACTCTGTTTTGTAAAAGTACTTTTAAATTGCCTCAGTAATGCAGTATAAGGATAAACAGAAATGCTGAGATAAGCTTAGCACTTGAATTGTACAACAGAACACTTGTACAAAATAGATTTTAAGGCTAACTTCTTTTCACTGTTGTGCTCCCTTGCAAAATGTATGTTACAATAGATAGTGTCATGTTGCAGGTTCAACGTTATTTACATGTAAATAGACAAAATTAAAACATTTGCCAGAAATGGCAGATTTTTACTGAGAGAGAAAGCAGCTGTTATGCAACATATAGAAAATGTACAGATGTTTTGACAGACCCAGTGGTTGGGTGGCCATCAATTGATGCTAGAAACAGACTGGGTCACCTAACATTCTCACAAACATGCAGGCATATTGTCAGAGTATGGCACTCAGTTAAAAAGGATCAAAACAGTTCAAGAGGACCATACTTATTAAAATGTTGAGTTTGAGGGCTGACATATTTAATTTTAAAAATTCTGGGTCTGCATCACTTATTAAATAAAAAAAATATWAAAAAATATGTACATTACATTTTGCTTATTTTCATATTAAATAGTAAGACAGAGTTTGCAAAGCAATTGTGGCTTTTGTAGTTTCCTTAAGCCAAAATGCGTTCTTTTTTTCCTTGATAGCTTTGCTAATCTTCTAAACAGTCCTGAAGAAAGAAACAAATAAGGACTTTTTGTATAGAAAGCACTACCCTAGGCCTTGAGGAACTCCATGCTTTGCTAACCAAGATACCTGTTTTCTCTTTACAGAAGTTTTGTTTTTGAAATGTGTATTTCTAATAATATAAAATATTAAGAATCTTTTAAAAAAAATCTGTGAAATTAACATGCTTGTGTATAGCTTTCTAATATATATAATTATGGTAATAGCAAAAGTTTTTGTTCTCTTAATGGTGGGGAATTATATTTGTGCAGTTGCACATTTAACTATTTTGTTTCAGATTTCTTTTACTGGGTGTACATTTTACAGATCAAAGTCAGCTGTTGAAAGACTGATCTGTAAACAATTAGACTTTACCCATGGTGTAACAACTTAAATCCTTTTAATACAGCATCTTACAATCAGGTGGGTAAACTGAGATCCATTGTATATACTGATCAGTTCTTTCATGCTGTTTTGTGCATTGTAACAAGTTAAGGGCCCTTCTATTACTTAATGTCCTGCGTATCTTGTAGTTTTCCATGGGTTAAATGACAAAGTGGCATAACTCAGCCCTTTCTCATTAATGAAGCTGGTATTCTGCCTGTCAGAATTGAGTGTGCAGCTCTGAYGGCTGTCAGCTATGTGAGTGCAGGTGAATATGTGCCGAAGCAGGGGGGCAAGGCAAAAGGGAGGGATCTGCACAAATGTGCGTGTTATATAGATTCCTCCCACTCTCTCAGAGACATAAAACTCTTAAAGAGATCATCAGTTAAAGGGTTGTTTAAAATAGATTGATTTTACACAGCCAATATTGGCTATCAGGTCCTTGGTTCTCATGGACCTCTGCAGTCCCATCATCTCACAGTGGTCATGTTGTTGAGCAATGCTCCCTGTGTGTTTACACCAGAGCAGGATTTGCTTCAGCACATGGCATCCACATTTTGTCCAGCCTTGTATTGTTCGTTTGACTAAGATAGCTTGACCAGAGGGAATGTGTCATTTTCTTTAAGTTCCTTTTGTCCCTCGTGTACATTAGAAAAAAAATTGTATATTCAAGTGTTTCAGTTTAATTTTTCTGTTGGAGGGAAAAAGTGTATAAGCAAAATGTTAGTGCCATAGTAAAACTGTAATATTTCTCCTCTTTTCAAGAGTCCTTCTAGGACTCAACTACATACATTGATATTATGATAAAGAATATAGCTGTGACAGCAAAATGTCAACACAAAATACTTTGAAGTGAAATCCACACTCTTTTTTCCACCAATACACGCAGTTGCTGTGCACTGCTCAGTAATAGAGTGTGTCTCTCTGTAATAGAGCATGATGATCAGACTACAGTGTGCATTAGGACATAGGCTCTTCATTTACCATGACTTTACAGAAGCCTGCCTTACAGGCACTTTCAGCCGTACAGGGGCTAGTGCATAATCTGGAAACTGTTTAAGCAGAATACTGTGCTACTAATTATCCATCTTATCTGTGTAGCAAACTGCAGGGTAAACAAAGATACGCATGTTTAAAAAAAAAATACAAAACAAACCAAAAAAAAATCAAAACAAAACAAAATTTTGAAAAAAAGGCAAAATGGGGCCCATAATTAATTTTAGAACACAAAAAGCCTGTGTTTGAAACCACTTTCTTCACCTTCAGATTAATCTATTCTCATTTTCTCTTCTGAGAATTTTAAACTTTGGTGTGTCAAAAATATGCAAATATATCACAAATGTACCTTGTCATTTCAAGAAAAAATACAATTTTATTGGTATTGTAGTAGAACCTTGTCAGTGGGGAAGGGGATTTGGTCTATTGATATATAAAGAATAGCCATATTAATAGTTTACCTTGCGATTTGCCTCAGCAACGCATGAAAAAAATGAAAGATCATATTTAATGAAGATGCAGCATAATATATTGCTGCAAGTAAGTAAGCAGAAAGTAGCGTGAAAAGTATTGCCTGGGCAATTTATATTAACTCTGACAGTGATTTTTGTATAAACACGAGTAGAACAGAATGACATGAAAATAAATGCCGGTCAGCCCTCTTGTTCCTGCTGCAGAGGGCAACTAACTTACACTGGCAAAATTGTGGGGGATAATGCATATTTGCAAACTGATCTAATGATAAGAAGCACAACTTTGATTGTGAAGTCACTTTCTGTAAACTATAACTGTCTACCTTTCTTGTTCCTTTATCTGTACCATTTATTGTATTTGCAAAGCTAATTTGGGTTTATTGTGTGATTCCTTTGTATTTAAGGAGTTTGGGGCAGAGCCCTGAAAGAGTATTAACATTTACTTTACCTTAACCCATGCTCTATGATGTTTTAGGCAACATTCTTAATTGTAAGCTCAAACACCTGAAGTGGCATTCTAGACATCTGCAAGTATTGTTATAGCTAAGCTAATCTCTATTAAAAGGTGTTGTCAGTTAGTGTTTAATTGCTGGTGACAATTATATGATATAACCTATCTGCACAACATGTATATTGTATGCATTGAGCCATTCACAGTAAAGCTTTCATCAYTTCAGTGTCTTTCAAAAGTTGTGTTTTATAACAAAATGGCTTATATTTTTCCCAGAAGAGGAATTTAGCAATTTTTAATGACTAATATAAAAAATATCTGTTGTCTTCAGATCTTTTTCAGGTAAAGTTAGCATAAGAATAGAACTAATAGGTTGTTTTCAAGGATGTCAACCCTTTTGTATTGTATGTGTTATCCTATATACCCTCCTTTCTCTGTAGTCTAACAGCTGTTTTGTTTTCCTTCTTCCTTCACCTTGAAGGTAAATGCTTTGTAATTTTTTTAAAGCCACTTGAAACCTCAATAAAGGCTGTTGCCTAAACATGGCATATTTCATCTGTTCCTGTTTGTGCCATCTGCTGTGATGTCGTCAGTTATATGGCATTAATTTCCTGCCACTACAGGTCTCTTGAAGAACTGATGGAACATTGGTGTCTGTTAGAATGCTTCAGACTGTAGATGTAATAAAAGGCTTTTGTTAATATATTTTAACCAAAGATGTGGAGCAATCCAAGCTTTGAGCCACAGATTTTCTGCATCAAAAGTATCTGTTTGATTATTTTCATAATCAGGTGTTGCATTTCTACCTTCCCTTCTCATACCTCAGACTGATCCGTACCTCAGTTTGATTCAAAAACAGGTCAGTTAAGTAAGTAATTTAAAAAAAAAAAAAATTAAAAATGCCGTATACCAGAGTCTTTTGTGTATTAACTAATATCAGACCTTGGTTGCTGCAGGCATTATACTTGGATTGCTTCAGATGGTTTGTTGTATCCTTTTTTTTTCTTTTTTTTTCTTCTCTTTCATGGGGATATGCTTCCATAAAACAATGGTGATAACAAAATAGCTTGTAAATGGGAGCATACAAGCATTTGCAACAAATATTAAAGTAGAGGCTCACAGCGGCATAAGCTGGACTTTGTCGCCACTAGATGACAAGATGTTATAACTAAGTTAAACCACATCTGTGTATCTCAAGGGACTTAATTCAGCTGTCTGTAGTGAACAAAAATGGGAAAATTTCAAAAGATTCTCCTGCTGGAAATAAGGTATAATTTGTATTTTGCAGACAAATCAGTAAAGTTACTGGCTTTCTTAGTGATACGGTGTCTGTTGTGCATTTTTTTATTAATTTAAATAGTGTTCAGTTTTCACTGCTTCGCACTGTAACACGTGAAAGAATCAGCATTTTAACTACCAGCAGCTGCCTTCACGTCCCTTACTGATTATTTGTCCTTGCTTTTAATGCTAAGCAATGTTTTCTGTCACACATCACCCCCCAGTTCAGAGAAACTCTATCATTGCTCTGCTAAATGTTCTATCATTTAGAATGAGGCTATCTGAATATGTCCCTGATGTTTGACAAGCAGAGGAGCTAGATGGAATAATGCCTAGCTTTCAGGTGATTAGTCACTGATAGGGAATCTAAACCCCCCTATATACATGTCCTCTGAATTCTACCTATGGGTAGAACCATGAAAAAACACTACCACAAATGCATATTTTGTGTCAAAATCGTATATCAGTGGTTCTATGCTTTGTCTATATTCTCTAGTAAACCTGCATAGGGAATGTGACAGAATTAATCTATTCACCTTTCTAGACTTTTTTATGAGAGGCTTGGGGGAAGGAATGTTTGTTTGTTTG